TTACATTTTGAATCATTGATTGTGTGCCTTTCTTATTCAATTCCTGTATTGTATACTGTAGCATTATGCAACTGTACCTGCCCTACTCATATATCAGTCTAACTATCAGTCTAAGATACTGTGCCTTGCTTTAATTTTGCCAAAGTGCCTCTTAAGCAGAATACTACAGTCCTGCGTCCAGCCTCTAAGATTACTGCTCTAGACTGACCCTTGACATTTGCAAAAATATGAACATAGATAACTGTCTTAGAGATGAAAGAAGAGCCTTATTGCTAATTCATAACATTTTTCATCAAAGGCCCGTTTATACTTTATGTATCGATCTTACCCTAAGGTGGATTCACATTTTTACGGGCTTGTCCCTACAATGTTTCAAAAATATATTTTTAATATGGAAAAGCCCGTAAAAAGTGCCTCGCCTGCCATGGGACACAGTGTCTTGTCCGGGCTCTGAGGCAGTGTAATTGCTCCAGGGGCCCCCTCTGAACCCCAGATCCGTCTTTACAGCTTGCATTAGCATACATAATACTGCTCTGTGGACTCAAAGAGTCATGCCAATTGAAATGCAATCATTTTCACAGCAGAGCACCACCATCACCATTTTAATTGAGTGTGAGAGTACTTGCATGTGTATGTGCATGGCTTTGTATCATGAGACAGGGGATAATTGCTTTTGCAATACAACATAGTAATATGTTGTTAATTCAATGATAGGACTTGATTGCTTTTGTCTAGTTGTATCCCCTGGGCTGGTTCATGTGTTTGTGATGTTTGTCAGACAACAGAAGGTGCAGACGATAACTGCTGGCCACATCCCTTTAGACTGTCTGCGCTGTATCTATATCAGTCTCTACACACGCACATACAGTACATGGACACAGACACACACACACACACCAAAAATAATTTTCACTGCATGCTAAAAACAGGGTCTATAAACTACAATAAAGAGGAGATTAGCACTCAATATGAATACCCCACTGTGAGGTGACAACCAAGACCAATTATCTTATCATTATCAGTGGATTGCTTTTGTCGTCAAACTAAATAAGTGGGGAAACTGAGACATGGCTGAATTTTAGATTCTAAGAATGGCCTGTCTGCTCTTTACATCTCCCAGAGTACTGTTAGTTACAGAGCAGAACAATAGGATAGAGATCACATGCATGCAGAGCTAGATATAGTATATTCACATGTCATGAAGACCTTTGAATGGCTGAAGATCCTGATAACTGCTTTTCTGGACCCACTGCAGTTTGCATATCAAACATTGGAGTAGATGATCCCATCGTCTTCCTGACCCACAAGGTCCTCTCACACCTGGAGAAGAAGGGAAGCACTGTGTGTGGACTTTCTTCAGCCACAGTATGTATGTGATTAGTAACATTGGAGTACCTCATGGAACTGTACCGGTGCCATTCCTCTTCCCTGTCAGCACATCAGACTGCTTTAACTCTGGTTCCTGCCACCTCAAACAATGTTTCAGTCGACTACTCCATTGTTAAATGCATCAACTATGACAATGAAGAGGAGTAGAGAGGACTAATAGAGAGCTTTGTCACACAGTGCAGCAACAATCACCTGAAGCTCAGTATCATCTCAGTATCAGAATCAGCCAGACAGAATATCTGGTGGTGAACAACAGCCCCTGTTATCATCAAGCAGGAGGAAGTGGAACATGTGGACTCAAATCAATAACACCGAGGCCTGGGACAGAGCACATTGATCTTCTACACAGATCCATCAGGCTGTGCAACAGGCTCCTGAAGACCTTCTACCAGTCTATGAAATCCAGTGCACTGTTCTTTGCTGTGGTGTTCTGGGGTGGCGGCATCAAGACTGGTGAGGCCAGCAGACTTAACAAGCTGGTAAGGAAGGCCAGCTCTGTCGTCAGGCTGGAACTATAAAATCTGGAGGCAGTGGCAGAGAGGAGGATGAAGGGCAAGATCAAAAACGTCGTAGATAAACCCTCGTACCCTCTCCACGGTGAGCTGTGGCAGATGGGCAGCTCATTCAGCCACCGAATCTTCCCACCCAGGTGCAGACCGGAACACTTCAAGCTCTCCTTTCTCTCCTTTGTACAACACACGCAGACCCATTCTCCACAGTGTCTGCTACACTCCAGACACTCACATTACTCTCCCTCTCCATTATCTCTCTCCTGGACTTTTTATATACCTTGCTATATATGTTGATATATTCTGTTACATACTATATTATATATCTATTACAGTATGTATTATACTACACTTTACTATATTATACTATACTATCCATACTATAGTGTATTATATTTGATATTCTATTCTATTTTATGTTATATTGCTGTACTATACTATACCACATATATCATACTATATCATACTACATCGTACTGTATTATGTTAATTTAACATGCTGCTTTTTACATCATATTCTATATTTTAATTATATTTCAATATTAATACAGACAAACACTAAGAATAATTACTTACCCTTACTTAATATTGAGTACCTTGGACCTTAACCTTGACCTTAAATGTAACCCTTACCCTAACCTCTGACCTGATCATAATTACCAAAACCTACACACACATCCACACACACCAAACGCACTGCTGATGGTCCAACACTGTCTCCCTTTGGCACAAATGGACAGAAAAGCTCAGAATGAGGAACCTAAATGACCAATTAACATAACATAACATAACAGTAATTTCCATATAAAGTGGACAAAGCAAATAGCTCTCTAATGAAGATCAGTGTTAGTATGCATGCCGGCTAATTTCTCTCTCAACGTCAGCAAAAGCCTGCAGGGACAAAATGATTGAATCATGAGAATGTGTATTAATGGCATTAGCTGCTAATTAGCCAAACAGAGAAAGAGGGCATTAATCTTAAAGCCTAGTTGTAGACTATACAGGTCTGGAGCAAACTTGGCACCACTTGCTAAACATAATGGCTAAGTGCTACACTTGGGGCTAAGAGGAACTCAGGGTGCAGCAAGGTTAATCTGTGGATATCCTTTACAAAGACTCAATTTAATATCTATATGGTATCCCTCTAGCTCCTCATAATGTGTTTGTGTTAATGACTGTTAATTTGTGGTACTGTGTTGTAAAATTAATTTTTTCAGTAATTTCATTACTAGAGAATTTCAAGGATTTTTCATTATTCAAAATGAGCTTTGTTGTTATTTATTCCTTTGAATCGATATCAGCAGTCCAATGGTCCTGTAATATTCTTATAGTATAGTTTTTAGTTTATACATGCTGTCTACAAATGTGTTTACCTTGTTTTACTCTATGGTATATTTACATCATAATCATGCCCTACAATACCACTAATCTTACAGTTTTGCTGCAAACTATTAAACAAATCAGGACAGGCTTAAAACAAACATGTGTGGATCAGTAGATGGAAATAAGATATGTTGTGTAGTGACTCAAGTTATTGACAAGTTTCAACACTAAAATGAAGACACAAAAACAAGCCAGCAAAGCAGACTGCAGTGAGAGCCTGATCCTGTGGTCTCTGGTGAAGCACTGACCCTCTCTGGCTGATTGGTGTAACTGCAGTGTGGCTGGACATAAAAAGGCACTCCATTAATCAGACTGAGAAATATCTGTAGTTTGCCTCGGGACATCAGAAACTGAAATTGGAGGAAATATGTTTATTTATAAAACTCAGCCGTATGCATGTTTTAGGCCAAATGAAAACTTGTTTGCCTTTTTCATACTGTATCTCCTTGAGGTATACATTTTTAGACAAATATAAGTACACTTAATACCCTTTTTTATTGTGGCTATAACTTTTAAAGAAATTGGGAGATGTGCTTTTAAATTTAAAGCACCATCAGATTTCATCAGGTAGATTGATTACTTCTTTTCATGACCTTTCTTTGCTTGTTTACCTCAAACTGTTGTTCTTTTATTGTACCTTAATTTTTAGGTTATAAGTAGACTCGTAGGTTGACATAATGTTACTTCTTGTCATGTTGTGCAGATGAAACTTTTGAAAAAAGGTTTGGATTGTGGGAGAGCCCATATGTTCTTGTTGATGTTATGTTGGTTTGTGTTTGTATTAATTGATCATATTTACTATTATTTTGCGTATTCTTTTTTGTTTCGATATCAATTCATTTCCATGTTTTTGTATCTGTAGTTCTCCTTAATAACAAGATGGTGCACCTCAAGGGGTTCACCTCAAGTTGAATTTGAAATAAAACATTGCAAGAAATATAATAATAAATGTTACCAAACACAGCAGATGTTAGTAGTAGATAATACTAAAAATATTAGAAATGATATATACATTCTTGAAGAAGAAGGCACCTAACCCCTACCTGCTTCTGGAGTGATGTTATGTGGCAGCCCATCACATTTTGTATGTCTATAAGCCCTGCATGTATATGATTGCATTTCGGGCCTCTGTGTGTGTGTGTGTGTGTGTGTGTAAAACATAAAAATAACAAAAAATAATTTCCCCATTAGGTTATAATAAAGTATATCTTCTTCTTCTTCTGTACAATATTCCATACCAATCACATCTGTATAAAAGCTGTATACGGCTGTATATTGTGTACATACAACTCTTATTCTATTTTTTATTTTTACTATAACTTGTGTTTTTTCTATATTTCTTTATTAAATTGTATATTTCTTACCTGTCATGTTGTTCTGGAGCTGCTGTAGCAAGTGAATTTCTCCAGTGTGGGATCAATAAAGTCTAAATGATCTTATCTTATCTTTTGTCCTATTCAAATGAACTTACAGTGTTTATTTTAAAAAGGGATTAAAAGCATTACGTGATCATTGATCCGCCAAGTTTGGATTGTGTATTTGTTTCCACGTTTTGTTGTCGAAGTCAAACACACGAAGTTTAGAGGAGTGATAGCGGAAGTATGGCGAGTGGAATTTCAAAATAATGTACATCAAATCCCCCCCCCCAAAAAAAAAACTACACTCGAAATGTTTTAACCGGAAGTTTTGTTTTTGTGCTTCTTCGCGCTAATTGTAACCAAAGAAAAAGAGAGTTTGTCGATAATACAACCAAGCTAGGTTACAGTTGCTATGAACCTTCAGTTCAAAGACACCGATGTGGCTGATACAGTCGAGAAACTTAAGCGGAAATATTTGGAAAGGAGGAAACAGGTTTGAAATTAACAACAACTTAAAGTATTGTGAGTCTGATAACTTCATGGTAAAAATGCTAACCGGTTGAAGCAACACATAAATTGGGCTACTGTAACCGATTAGGAGACATGCACGCCGGATGTCTGTTTACCCTGCAGTGTTAAATTATGATAGCTAAATGAAAAACCTTCACATGAAACTTAAATGAGCTACAAATGTGTTGCTTTACTCGCCTGTTGTGAAAACATTGAATGCCCGCCGAGCTAAATGAATAATGTGCTGTTCTGTGTTGTGGTGACTTTAAGTTGCCACCGTCTGAAGACATTACTTCAGGAACCAGAGATGGTAAGTGCACTTCACACAAGCCCCCCCACACATGCTCAGAATTACCCCCTGCTAACTGGGGATTGCTTGACATGAATAAAAAATGAGTCGCATTGAATTGATATGCCTAACATTACTTTATGTTAACTATTTTAGAGGCAGCCAGGAGATCCACACAGCCAAGGAAAGAGCTTAAATGTTACAGCAAAGCTTTAGATGAGTTGTTCAGAGCAGTTGCCAGCCATCCTGACCAGTACGTCTAATGAGATTACCCTTCACAAAATACAATTGCTTCATGTTTATAATGAGTATTATGCCTTGATCAAAATATGTTTCTGTATTTTCTAAGGTTTGGCAGTGATCGTAGTCTAAATGGCAGTAATGAGGACCTGAGTGGGGACTCTACAGCGGCCCCTCTTCAGGACTCTCAGCTGCTGTTTACAGAAACAGGTGCCAGTGTTTGTGCTTTCTGAGCTGGAAGAACTGACCACCTTATAGCAAACTCAAAGTAGCAGACGCAGAAATAACTTCAGGGTTCCTAACTTCCTGAAGAAAATCCTTTTTGAAGCATAAGTCACGTTGATATGATTGCAGTTTTAAAATGAATGACTTGACAAGATCATGAATAATAAAACGGGCCTCAGTGATTAGTCCTTGAATTTCACCAGAGTCCTTGTAATTTATTTACCTAATTTTCTGTTATTGCTGAAATTTCTGACTTTTCCTAACAGCCTCTGTTATAGGTAGATAATGAGCTAGCCTGGGGCTTAAATCTATTATACCTCCATTTGTCCAGATGTGACCTTGCCTTCCTGTCTGGATGGTAGCCCTGGGTCCCCAGAAAGTGAGACCGATGGGAAGGTGCAGAGAGCTTGCCAACTCCCTGACTCGTGCCGTTCCTCTTCTTTAGTACTAGCAACGGTGTACCAGGAGATGATGACCATCTACGAGCAACTAAGGGTGAGAGAGAAATGAGGGGTTATGAGTAAATCCAGATCCAAAACTGAAAAAGTGACAAGATGTCTGTTTCATGAAAGGATACTCTCAGTGGTGTGTCGAATATTATACACTCACAGAGAATAATGTGATTTCCATACTTGTATTTTTTGGTTCTAAAGAGTCGCTTTGAGTTTTAGATTCAAAAGTTTGTTTGGGTTCGAAAAGAAATGTTGTGTGGATACAGGCAGAACGAAAGAGCCAGCAGCAGTGGGAGAAGAAGCTGCAGGAGCGAGAGAGGAGGCTGAAGCAACAGGAGGAGGCCTTTGGGAGGCTGGCCGGACTTGAGGAGATGCTACACACTCAGATAATAGCTGTAGAAGAGGTCAGACACACATACACATCCTTCCAAATCCAGTAATCAGACTAAATGAACACTAATTTCCATCACGGTCAGTAAGGACTTGCCACAACATGAGGGGATGATGCAATATCAACCTTATATCAGTGTATTGTATAACTCAAGTGTTCAAGCATTGTTGGTGTGGTTGCACTGTTCATTATGTGCGAATGTGTGTGGATGTGTCACCAGAAACACCACCAGGAGGTGAGCCAGCTGCAGGATCTTCTTCGAGAGAGGAGCAAGGAGAACAGGAGGCTCAAGTCCAGCTTCGACACAATCAAGGAGCTGAATGACAACATGAAGAAACAGGTTAGAAGTGTTCCCATACAAGCCATGCAAGTCTACAGGTCTTTTTTAACACTTTATGTGATTAAAAGCTCAATATGATTGAAAGTCTTCACTGTATTAGTGTGTTTAAATATGTAGGCTTTATGATCTAGCTGTGAGCTGAACATTAAGTGTTCTATGTATGTTTATGTTTTACTTTGAGAGTAATATTCAAACTGGAGCCTGCAGCAGCCAATCCTGACATTTACTCTGAGTAGGTTCATACCAAACAGTTAGTACCATGGACCACAGGAGGGCGCTATGACATAACCCTCTTGTATTCGGATGTTGAATAATACCAGTGTTATTCTAGCTGTTGAATTAAACACTGCTTGCTTCAAAGACACACACAGAAAACAAAATTCTGCTTAAAAAAGTAGGCAGATTTGTTGGCGTGGGATTCAACTAATTAGGGAAGGTTTTTATGGGCTGTGGTCTTGGATAGATTGACACTGCATGCTTTTTAATCAACAGTTGAATGGGATCAGTGAACAGAATAAGAAGTTAGAGAGCCAGTCGAAGAGGATGCAGGCCCGACTTGAGAACCTGCAGGTAAGAATGTATTCAACAAATGCACAGAAGGCTGTGCTTTTATTAACAAGAATCACACCAGGTTTCCATGGAAAACCCATAAATTCTGACATTCAATCTGATAATCAGGCCGTTCCACTCTAAAAATACTTTCTTCTAGCAAACAAATGTTCTTTCAAACATTTCATTCACTGAATCATGAATTGTTTTCAGAGGAAGTACGAGCACAGCGTAGCATCGAGAGGCTGTCAGAAAATGAGTGTTAAGAGCACTGAGTGTGTCAAACCATCCAAAAAGGAGAAAACTGCTGTCTCTGGAAAACCCACACACAAGGTATGCCCACAGCACTGTGTGTGTGTGTGTGTGTTTGTTTGTTTAGCAGAACATCCAACTAACAAATCAGTGGGATATATTGTCTGAGGCTTCATTACTTTATTTGTTGGTGTGTGTTTATGGAAAAAACTCACTGTGCACATCATTTAGCATGGTTAGACACACACTCACACACTCATTTACACATAGCTGGAAACACTACAGCAGTCCTTCTCCACAAACCACACTCGTGCTGCCAGCTGACATGATAAATTGTAGTTTGGGATTCTGTTATGTTATCATCGCTGTTGTCGATGAAGATGGATTATCAGTGGATGCAGTTGAGCTCTGAGCTCACTCATACAGCTGCACTTGTCATTTTTTTTTAATGTTTTTTTTTTTTTCCTTTCCCTATTTGGAGAACACTGACGGAGCCAAACTTTAATTTAATTATCATACTTTTTCACAGTTTAATTAACACCTTTAGGCTCCCCGGTGAAATCACAGTCATGATGTAATGTTCACACTTCTGTGAATACGCCTTTATCTCTCACGGCTGAACTTCAAATAGAAATAGTTATACATTCTACTCATGTTTCTTTAAATCTTGACTTCTTCGCATCACTTAGATGCTCATTGTGAGTCCATGCGGGACATATTACAGAATTTAGATCAAGATGTGACACTGACGTATGATAAAGGTCTAATTGAAGATCCCCTCCAGGCATGAATTAAGACATGTATACAAATAGCCTGCTTGGAACAATAATGTCCAGCTGTAGGAACAAGAAGAAAATAATATTTTTGAGTGGATGGGGACTTTCAAATAACAACTATAACTAAAGTCAAGGTTTTGTGACAAATTAGGCTTCAGATAACTGCTTCAGCAATGTAATTTAACCCTTTATTCATTCATCTTCCTTCCTTCAGGGCAGCACCAGTCCCACCTCACTAAAGCTCCTGGCCCTTCTCCTGGACTGGGTACTTGATAGACCTACGTTCTCCTCAGTTGCAGGAAACAAAGGGAAAGGCGTCAGCCATTGTCTGCCTCCAGAGGTCTTACTCAACGAGAGATGCCTTAAGGTGGCGTGTTAACTGTAGCCTCACTGTGATCTCTGGATCTTTATTACAACTGTATTTCAGTGCATATTTTGGTGTCATGAGCACAAAAGAGCAATAGATCAAAACAGATTAACAGGTTTTTTTTATTGCAATCAAAGTCATAAATTATTTTTGGTTCCTTAGGTGCTGCCGTTGTTAGCAGATCAGCTTCATCACAATCCTTTGACAGAACCTGAACTCCTCCTCAATCTTCTTCGCCTCGTCCACTGGGCTTTGAGACACATGGACAGCAGTACACAGGTATACTGAGTACTTTGTTTGTTTGTTTTTACCAACTTTCACCTCTGGATTTTAGGGCCCAGGCTGCTACAATCCAAAGAGCCGTATATGTGATGTGCAGGAAATGTCCTGACAGCCGTTTCTGTTGTAGTGACTGTGGGCCAAAAAGTAATTTGTAGGCCAGATGGTTTCACATGACCTGCAATCATTTTGTGGTCACTACATCAAAATTGCAGCAGTCCATCACAGTTCTATTTCATAAAACCTTTCGGGGAGTAGCCGCTATGAACGAGCCATGTCACCAGTCAACACAAAAACCCATTTACTGTACATACTATTGAGGTGGCTGCCTTCAAAAATGTGAACAGCTATTGTCTGAAAATGTCTGGTTTTCCATGTGGCTACCAAAAGGAGCATTAGTCAAAAAATCAATTTTCCCTGGAAAAAATAGTTCTTGGTTATCAGACACTTTCAGCAGCATTAACCTTGTTTTGTATTAGATTATCTATGCTGTCAACAAGTAACAACACAGGGGAGTGTGATGACATTCTTTAACAAAATGCTGTCAATTCTGTGGCTTTGCACCTTCCTTATTTATAGGTATTTGTGTTACCCTACAGAAAGCTGCTGGGTCACTCTCAGAACATCATGCAGCAGAAATCAAACACGACACACAGTTTTCCCTCAACACATAGCTACACATCTGAGAAATACACATCCACTTCAAGCAGGGGGATATCCGCTGTATCGCTACATCACCCTTCACAGCACGGCAGGCTTTAATGTTTGGAGATCCTGTCGAGTTGCATCTTGTGTTCAGATGAGAAGCATGGTTATCTAAAGCCCCCCCTGCCTGTCTCTGTGTGTTGAACAGAGTCTGGGCATTACAACGGGCTGTCCCTCTTTCTGTAGCTTTGATAAGAATGTGTATCCTGCTCCATTATACAGCCACATGGCTTTGAGCCTCTAGAGGGCCCCCCATTACCGATACTGTACATAAGCCTTTTCTGGTTGAATTGGAGACAGGTGGAGTAAATGTAGCTCTGTTACTCAGTCCCTCTTTGCAGGCTTATTTTATTGTGAAGGCTAAATACCTTTAACCCATACCTGTAGCTTATTGTCCAACATCGCAATCCTGACGTCACCGTCTGCCTCTGGCCACATATTCTCTACCCTGAGCCTCCGACTTCCAAGCTTTTCCAGCCCTGCTGCAGGGTGCTTGCCCCCCCCCTCCCAAATGTTTGTTTGTCAGGCCATGTCCTATCTGCTCAGTGACATGCTTGATGCTCAACTGGAATCACATGCTGCCTTATTGCTGCAATATGTGTTGACTTTTAAGACAAAAACCAACCTCTATTGGGCCACAGTGCAGAAATGGAAGAAGGCAGATAACTTAGGGTCCCTATGGAGAGAGGGATGTAGTGAGTTTGAAAATCACCAGCTTTTCAGGGCTTTGGAAATACATAAATCTTGGATAGTAGCTATAGTTTACTGCACTGATTTATTGGCTCCACCAGTTATTTGGAGAAGAAGCCTGCTGGCTGCCTTTCAGGCTGACCTTCTATTTTCTACACTGGCGTTTGATGAAGATCATTGTAGGCATGTCATTCCTTTTATTTACAGTTATATAACACAACTAACTGAGTGCAGGCACAGTCATGAATTTTGTGCAATGACCTGTGTGTGTGTTTGTGTTTATTTGCACAGCATGTAGCACTATCTGCCACTGTGCGGCGGATAGGAGAGGAAGTATCGAGGCTCCCAGCCCAGTCGACAGTGGCTCAGTCTGAAGATCCAGACCTGCCAAAGTTCTGCAGTGGGGAGGCAAGTGGACCCTACAGGAGCTGGCCTACTTACCGAAGCCCCTGTCCTCACACACGCATCCTCTCCACCCTCATCATCCTCCGCACTGTCACACAAGGTAATAATGTATGGTATATGGTATAATGTAAAGTACAGTTACAAATACTTTCACAATGTCTATGACTAGTTTGTAATGTGCTCTCCCCGTCTGTCACTAAGACAAGTTGGCTTTACAAAGGAAACAGATAATAAAAAGAAGAGTTTTTCTGGATGATGATGAAACATTTGAAAACTTTTCATAATTCACTTCAAATTATTACACTTAATACGTGTTTAGTAATAATAATTTGATTAATCAAACAGGAGATTTTCTAAAAAGTAAAGGTACTCATTATAGTTGTGGTTGCTTACCTGTCCTGCACGTAGCAAGACACATCCATGATGCAGTGATGTCACGGCACTGATGGCAGCCTAATTCAACTTGTGCATCGTCATCATAATCAGAGCTAGAAAATGTGAGCGGTGCATCTGTTGTTACTTGTCACTTCCCACTATGCCGGCCCCCCACGTGCGTAGGTGTAAATCCACAGAAACAGCAGGGTGTTAAATGTGTAACTGAGTGTTGTGTTCTTACACATTCTCAGCATGCTGTGTAAACTCCTTACTTCACGTCTTAATTAAATTTTCCACGTCACTGCTAATACAATGCTGCTAGCAGTCGTCCTGTTTGTCTATTATAGTTGATGAAGTGCTGCTGGCCAGCAACGGTTGGAACATTTTTGCATACACAGCGTGTCTAGCCACGCTAGCACTGTGGCACAAATGTCAATCAGTCCTCCAGACTGACATATCTCAACAACTACTGAATGATGATTTCAGTTTGTACATACATACACTCTGCTGATAATAAGAAAATTCTGTTATAATAATTTATTTTTAATTCTTATACAAAAACTATTGATGGAGCCTTAATCGAGTTTATGAAGAGTCAAAACAGTTTATTCATGTTTTTGTGTTGTGTCAAAAATAGTGATGTCAGTTAGATTTTGTTAGAACAGAGCTATGGAGAAACGGGGGTTTTTACAAATTGTGAAAAGAAAACATTCCATCAGGAACTGATTAATGAGAAGAAACTGCTGCACCACAGATCTGTGGACCCCTATTTATGTTTATCTTAGAATTTTGTTTTCTTTACAAAGAGCATTAACCTCACAGAGCCGCTAGCGTGGCTTTTACAGATATTTGTAAAGGGCAAGGAGCTTTTAGCTACATCCATATTTTGTTGCCTGGCCCTGGCCATATTATAAATCTTAGTTCACACAGTGGGTGCAGCCTACATATCCTGACTTATTTATAAAACTCTCCTCTGAACTGACCTTCCATCTGCTTGTAATGCTTGGGGGCTCCCACAGTATGTCTTTATATAGACTGTTTTCTGTCAATCTGCTTACCAGGTTTGCTTTCTCCCCTTCTGTGGATTGACACGAAACCAGATTGAGCATAATGGAGAGATGTTTCCTCCCTCTCATATTTTCTGGGCTTTTACACATAATAGGTACCATTCTAAGACAGACTAACCAAACTCAGTCCAAAACAAAAAAGAAAGCTTTTATCCCATGTCAGGATGTATAAATTCAACACTTTGAGACATTTGAAAAGCATTTTCTTAGAACTTTCTCAGAACTATTTGAGATGATCACCACAGATCACATTTGAATTTGTCAGGCAAAATGGTTTTTGGACTGCAGGAGAATGGCAGCCATTAGGGCCAAAGTACAATGTCGGAGTATCAGAAAAAAAGGAAACACAGCTTGGATAGTGGGGATAAGATAGGAAAGGGTAGATGGAAGACCGGTTTCCCATTACTAAACAGGTAAAAATTTAATAAGAATATATAGTACAAAGCTGAGATTAGAACTGCATTTTTCCCAGATAGCGCACCTGGTAGAGCTGGCAACCCGTGCACCAAGGCTGAGTCTTTGATGCAGCGGCCCAGGGTTAGAATCTGACCTGTGGCCTCTGCGTTATCCCCTCTCTCTCTGTCTCTCTGTCTCTCTCTCTCTCCCTGTTTCCAGTCACTATCAATTAAAGGCAATACAAGTTTATAATATTTATAGTTGATTATTTAATTAGTTCAGAATATATAGTTGAATATATGGTGGTTGATTTATTGATTTATTGATATTTCACATTATAGTAAATCGAATATTTCTGGGGGTTTGGACTAGTGGTCAAACAAAACAAGGTAGCGATAATGTGATGGGCATTTTTAACAGTTTTCTGTTGTTTGTTTGTTTTTATAGACCAGGCAAAGTCGAGAAAATAATCAGTAGGATAATTGATGGTGAAAATAACCACACCAGCAGCCTTGGATGAGATTTGTCTCTAGAAATGTTTGTAATATAAAATTTCCTAATTTAGCTTATATTCTTATTCTAGCACTATAGTTTCAGCTTGAAGTAAAAGTTTTCTGCTAAAATACCAATGCAAGACTGAAATGACTTAAACAATTTAAAACTGAATGGAGTATCTCAGTATGTACCATATGTGTCTCTGTCTGTCTGTCTGCAGCTGACGTGCTGGCCCAGGCTCTGGACAGTCTCCACACCGAGCTGACGTCTGAGGAGAGCCGAGGCCTGTTCATCCACTATGGAGGAGTGTGTGCGCTGCTGTCGGTGCTTCGGGCTGGCCGTGGAGGTCTGCACACACCTGTAGATATCCTGATGCAGCTAACGGAACAATCCCGTAAGTATGCACATGTCACACGGCTATAGTGTAGATCCCATCACCTTTGTATACTTATGAGACTGCACGAAGGGTGATGAGGAGCAGGCTTTTTGACATATGAGTCTCATTGTAAAGAGGGTTCAGGCAGAAGCATTATCAGCTGTGCCTGTCAAACCACCACCACACTGTGTTTAATCCTGCTTCAGTAATTGTTGAATTGATAGTATTTAACACAATAACTTTTAGTAAACTGGTTAATGCACAAATTGTAGAGGTGCCGCAGAGGTGCAAACAAAATCAAGGTACGTCTCAGAACATTAGAAGCAACACCTTTTTGGAGTTAAAGACTCCACTGTAGCAGGGTGTCCTGGAAGAGCTGGCGCCAGAGTCCTTGCTGCAGCGGCCATGGGTTTAACTCCAACCTGTGGACCTTTGCTGCATGCCATCACCTCTCTCTCTCTCCCCCCTTTACTATCACTGTCACTATCAATTAAAGTAAAAAACCTGTAGCAACTACTTAACGTTTTGGAGCATCATTGGATGGCACAAAGAGTGTTGAAGTCTCGTCCAAAAAGTTATTACTAAATTCAGTATATTAGTTAAATAGTTGTATTTCCAGCCTGCCCTAGCACCTCAATAGTGGCCTCAAGAATCACCTTTAATATTACACAATTCACTTTGCCCAGGAAACTGTCTGTGCTTGACATAGACCCCAGATTTATTGCCTGCCTTTACTGTCACTATTTACTTTGATTTATACCAGCTCCTCCTACAGTATCACTCCATATCATCCCCACATAAAAACCACATGGGAAAAATAACGGCTCGTCTGAGCTCACATTCATCATAAGCACTGGTCAGGCAATAGATTTGGAAGCTGTGGTAATAAAACTTTGGACCTTTACCACCTCCTGGCTCTTTTCATGGAAAGACAAAAGACTTGACAGAGGTTGGCAAGGAGGGAAGAAAACAGCTGCGGTGTGTTTCCATGGAAGGGCAAGTTCAGCGGGGTTATGAGCCATATCATTTAAGACTGCTGTATGCTAATACACAGCAGAGCCATATGCCAGAGGCGACTGGGGCCGGAGCTGTGTGTGTCTACATACTGTTGTGTGTTTCAAGGTGACTGTAAGTCTAGCAAGACTTGCTAATTATTGTGTTTTACAAGCAGTAATGAGGGGAGACGGGAAAGGGGTGAGGAAGAGGGGGAGAAAGGTTTACCCCTGAAGGTTGCCAATAAAACAAAACAAAAAGGTCCACTTGTACACAAAGCACACACACACACATACAGTACGTACAGGTCAGGATGTTTGTGGTCGGGCTGCGACAACATGATTGCTTTTATAAAGTCACACACTCTACCACCAACACATCTTGTTTATGGCACATCCGTGGATCACAAAAATGCAGTTGACCACCTCAGCATACACAAACACACTCAGTAACAGGGTTTTACTGGCTTTGACTGATGTCTGGTAAACAGTGAGTGCATTAATTACCAAACTACTTCATACAGTATACAGTATGTAATTTCCATGGTCACATATGGACTTACTTGGTGTGTGTTTGTGATCTTTGCATACTTGCCACAGTAGAAAAGTGTTGTTATATGTTTTGATGGTGTTTCAGGTTTAAAAAGCAAAAAAACGAAACACTCCCGGACTCTTAGATTAGACCAGTGGTTTTCAAACTGGGGTCCAGGAACCAACAGGTGTCCTTAAGGTGGGTTGTTGGGGGTCCCGAGCAAAAGGAGAAATGGAATATATTTTCACATTTTTTGGAAGTTGGAAAAACAAGGGAAGAAATGGGGCGGGTTTAATTTATATTTATTTACAGTGATCCTAGTTTAATTATTGATTTACTATGAAGACTTTATTGTCTTCAAATCAAAAAGTTTGAGAACCCCTGCTTTAGACAAAGACTTTAAACGCACTTCTAACAGTATCATCTGCCCCACCGCACCAATGTTGTCAATCATCCAACCTATAAGGAATCTGTATTTCTGTCTCCATCTAAAGGCCTGTCACGATAACTACTTTCGTTGGGCGATATATTGTCCCAAAAATAATTGCGATAAACAACGATACTGTCATTTTAAGACCATTTTATGCCACTGATATAATGATATTATAATAACATACTAATGCGATGTCTGGGGTCATATTTGAGCTTGACCACACATCTGTAGTGAGACTGAAAGTAGACGCTCTCTCTCTCATTCAAACACACTCACATGTTAACACAACTGGTCAGCAAAAAATGTGTAAGTCATGTCTATATATTGTATGATAAGTCAATAATGTCATTATTGTGATAGGTCTATCCATCTGTATCTGTATGGCCACGTGTGTAAAATGTAGTGCACATTAAAAGGATAATGACCCATGAGAAACCTGGGCAGTGTGAGTCAGAGGTGCTGCAGACAATGTGCAGTCTGCAGACTTAATAAGATGCAATATTAGTGCCTTTGAAACAGATATAGTGCTGCAAACAAAGTAATGATAATTTAATGATAAATAAACTGAAGACCTACTTGAGTGATATTTAAGTTTAAGAGTTCTGAAATTATTCTCACTCAAGAACAAGAACAATCCATTAATGGTAGACACACTTGGCAACAAGCTGGTAAACAAAAATGACATTAATATTGTTTATCGCAATTATTTCTAGAATCAGTGCTCATGTTGCTCTGTGACTGCTATGTGTAAATAAGCAACTTTTTGTTCACCATGTCAACTCAAAAAGTGATGATACTGAACATGAGTGCTTTGTTCACAACTTGTTTCCCCTGCCCCCAAGTGGTCAGAAAATCATTTATTATAAGGTTTAAGTTAAGAATTGGTCTGAGTAATTATTATAGTGTAATAGTGTATCCAAATTGATTCTTTTTGTTATCCTAGTAGGTATTTAGCTTGCAGTGGATTCAGTTTTAGAAAATCTTCAAGTTTTGGACTGTTGGTCAGACAAAAGAGGCACAAAACATCCCTCTGTATATAAATTGTTCAAGGTCATGTCAGTAACATGAATTAGTAGTTTTATGACCTTGAGATGTGGTGATGTTCTTGTTGGAAGAAGACTGACCAAACTGTCCTTTCCTGCTTTATCCTTCTCATATTATCAGATTCTACCCGTCTTATCCTTTGCTATCTGAACCTAATCCTATTCTTCCCCATCCAATCTTCTGCTGTGATTTGATGCCAGCAGAACCTCTGTACCAGCCAAGAAAGTCCCTCTGTGGCTCAGATTGTGTTCCCTCACCCTTGTGCGTGGTCTAAGACAGTGGAGAGTTAGTTCTTGAAGGAGTAGGAATGTGACTTTAGCAGAAACAAATGTTTGTTTACGAGGAACCAACTAATTTTAGGACTTCATACGGTTCACATTTGCTTTTATTCATCAAAAAAATTTGCAGCTCCCATCTGTGTGGACTGATGCTGTGGTCCTTTTTCCGTTTCATCTCCTTATGTGTTTGTGTGTGTGTGTGAAGTTATGGTTTGATGAAGGGAAGGTCAAAGTTAACAGTGACAATATGGAAGCTCTTCCAAAAACAATCATCACAGAGTCACTTGACCAGCATCCAGCTGTCCCTGTCTAACTCAGTTTGATCGTTAAAGGGTTTTCATGGTTTGTTTGTGCCTACATGTAGTTTTCATTTATATGTAAATCTGGAAAGTATGGCAAAATTAAGTCTGTAATCTCTTCAGAAGTTAAATAGAAATGTGCTGTTTATTAGAGAAATTGTTTTGAGAATATCATACTTTCTTTGCACTGCTTGTGTTTGTGTGCTTGTAGGTTACTTAAATCCATTCCTGGAGGCGTGTAGCTGTGAGGAGTTTTTCCGAGCGACCTCCCAGCTTCTTAAAAACCCTCGCCTGGAGCTCCCGTCGCTGGAGAAGCTCTCCATCCTACTCCAGAAGCTCTCCAGCGTCAGGTAGATACATTGATCTCCAAATTGATTATATCACACACTGAACAAGGATTAACACGTCTCATACATGTGTGGAAATAAGCAGCCATGTGCTTGTTCACTGTTATCATTTCATAGTGTGTCTTAAATATAAAAAAAAAAGCAAAAAAAAGCAAAGCTTTAAGGAACAACTGAAAACATAATTATGATTTTGTGTTTTTCTCATTTTCTACCCTGTTATCATCTCATGACCCCTAAGATTTATCTTCTGGCCCATTGGGAGTGTCCTGACCCCCACTTTTGCAACCACAGTGTAATTATTATAGCCCTAGTTTGGATTGAAGCTATATTTAATGTCTAAAACAAGCTATTTCCAGATTGTGGCATGTATTTATTTAATCTTTGTGTCTGCTGAAGTCATTAAATCCACACCTTCACCGCTTCTCAAAATCTTTAGCCATGCTAGTGGCACAGCTCTAGGGATGGAAAACCCTGGTCAGTCAGTCGACCACTTTGGTCCAGACTTTAATATCTCCACAACTATTGGATAGATTTGCACACTTTATACACACAATCATGGTTTCCAGATGATGAATCCTGATAACTGTGGTGATCCCTGACTTTTCCTGTAGTGCCACTTCATTCTAGTGGCCTGTTCAAGCAAGTAGTGTAAACCTGGCCAAAGATATGAAGTTCTACAGCTGTAGCACACTGGTGGACTGCTAGAGTGTGACTGACTTGGTGGAATGTGTTTCGTTGAATGTATTTGGACTGACGGGTCGTTGTGTTAATTTTTGTCCAGGAAGAACCGTCGTCTGTTTGAACTTTCCTCCCTCCACCTCCAGATACAGGAACTTAATCAGAAAACCAACCCCACGCACACCTTCCTGTGCCTCAACCTCAGGTCCATCCTTCAGAACCTTAAATAACACACTCACTCACATGTGTTTCTCTGCCTCATGCTGGATTCAAGGTCTCTTTAAAAATTCTCAAACTACCCTGTTACGATAAAGATGACTTGCCTTGTATTTCAGTACTCCAGCACGTTGGTTGGACCGTTCTCAGACTGTAATTACCATATTTCCAACTGTACAGTACTTCAAGGCTCCATCCTGCTTTACCTCAAATAACATATGCAGACGCACATTCCTTATTTATTTAGTGATATGTTTTTGAAGTTCTTTTGAAGCTCTTGTCTGTCAGAAGAACTTTTTTTTTTTACTGTTGTGTATGTTTTGTGACCCGTCTGTTTTTATGTTCCCCAATGTTAATCTGATGTCTTGTCTTCTGTTCTTTCTGTGATGGGCCCCCGCCCCCATTTTTTTTTCTTTTTTTCTTTTTCCTTTTTTCTAAATGAGTGTCATGCTTGCCAAGTGGCCTTAATGGCTGTCTGATGTGCTCAGAGGAAGAGAGGCTGTGACTGTGAAGCTTTTTAATGACAATAAACAAAAAGAACTGAAGGAAATTAAGATAGGACTGCCTATGAAATGCTGAAATCCATATGTTTTGTATAAACGTGTCTTATTTGTTTGTTCCAGAGCATGGGTGGGTTGATGGGAGTAATGGTCTCAGTATGGGACACACTGGTGGTGTTGGTTGATAGAGGAGATTGGACGGACTGGAACAATTACAGTCGATATTTAAAACGTACTCGTTGAAAACCACTCGGAAGTGCTTGGCTGGTCTGAATTTGAAAGGGGTGCATCCAGTTTTTTAAGGCCCCTACAGCATCCGAATTCCTAAATTGACTTCATGTTAGTTACTGTGCGAAGCAGTGTTCAGACCGAAGTACGAAGACAAGACAAGTTTGACAAAAAATGTGTTGCATATTGTCCTTTGGGTCCTTTATTATATATTTATTGTAGAATACAGTTGTGCACTGGATGTCGGATTTGAACAACTTTACTGATAACAGGATCATCTCTCTTTTTCTAGAGGGTTCGGAAAGGTCATTACATATTACCAACTACTGGTTAGTGCATACCAAAGGAAAAAAAAAAACAGGAAACTATGGCCATGAAACTCTTAAAAATGCAGAAGGTCCTATCTGGAGCCGGTGTTTGTGGATAAAAATATTTTAAGATAACGGAAAAATATTAAGGTGGTTATAAAGTAATGAAAACACACCAATGAATATTATATTCCATTAATACCAATAGATCGTTAAATGTTACACACTGAATAAAATTCTGTTTCATTGACTCTTGTAGAGAGGACGGATAACGAAACAAAAAGCTTTCTATGATTTTAGTTTATAGCATTTTACTTAGTCTTCAGGTATGCATTAATCTTTATCAGATATTCTGATTCCTTGATCTGTTATTACATTTCTTGATACATCAATGAATAGCTTGGCTTATAAAATGTTAGAAAATAGTGAAAAAAAATTAGCATTCAATCAAATCTGTCTAATCGAAAAAGGTTTTGTTTTTTTACTTGAGAAAACTTGAGTGTGACAGTGAACCTGAAGGCTTTAAACCACCTGCAACATTCAAGAACAAAGATGTTTGAAATTAAATGTCCTGCCAAAATAAACACAACCTGTTTTAGATATTTGAGTTACATTTATTCCTTGAGTGATTTCAGACAGTTGGCATTGGCACCATGCATTACAGTTACAATAGATCCATTGGTAGAAAAGGAAACACGTGGTATTGTGAGTGAAATGTAAAAATAAGAATTGTTCTGTCAATGGAAATTATCAGTTTTGGAAATCATGCATCCAAAAAATATGCTGAACCACCACAGTTTATTTACTTTTTAAACCTTGTTTGAAAGCTTCTGGATCGTACATCCGTCAGCTGTGATAGAGGTGCAGGAGTGAGCTGTAGCTTATAGTTTAGCCCATTTAATGATTTGGAATGTTATTACTCCAAATTACTTTGGTTTTTAACCACTTCTATTAATATGTGGCAGGCACCAGAACACATGCAAGGACAATGTTAAAAGTTCTGTTTATATACAAAATGACTGGAAAACAACTTATTTTTATTGCCCTTTAAAAAAATGATTGTACTCTTGTAAATAAGTAGTATAATTTTAAATCTCCACTGGGGGTGAAACTAAATTGACATATATATAGAGACCAGAAGGGAAAGTCACTCATTAAGTTTTAGCTCACCTCAAATTCTTCTCTTGCTTACATTTTTACTACTTCACCAACAGCCATAAGCAGAGGACATTATGTTATAGATAAAAGTTCATCCTTTGCCTCAGTATTACGGAGGAGAGTATTTCTATTGCTTTCCCATCGTGGCTGTTGTGAATTTCGTTGCATCCGGATGGTATCAAATGATCAACAGGGGAACACATTGTGTACACGTAAACTACAAGCGACCCAGGGTACATTTGCAGGTCCGACCATGAACTCGTCTTCCATCTCATCAAGGCGGATGCGGTGTGGTTACTAAGATCATCATTTTGTCATCAACAGTTTCTTCAGCATCCGTCTCTTCTGCTTCGTAGCACGTCCACCCTTTAAGTATAAATTGATTGAAAACTGGATCTCGTTGCGAAGCCAATCGTCACTTTCTCTCTTGATCAACTCATATTTTACGTTGGCAAAGCTTTAATGTGGAGCTGTTGAGCAGAGTGGTAACACATGGCAGCCGATCAGGGCCGCAGGGCTTACTGGCTTAAATGAATGTAATAATGTCGGATTACCAACCAAGCCATCATGTTGTCAGCACTTGGTACTTAGGACATACTGAGGGTGTAAGGCTGTGTTCACACCCAACAATGCAATTTAAATGAACTCATCATTTCCTTATAAATCAATCCAAACAAATTAAAGATGACCTTAAAGTGACACTGTGCCTTTTTGACCTCCAAGGGCTTGAAATAAGGTTTGTAGTTTCCCTCATTTTGTGAAATCTGTGCTTATCAGATACAAAGATGCTTACAGTCCTGCAGCGTAATTGATTTCAACGTTGTCCATCCATCTCCTCAATACTGTATATTGAGCATAATGTATGTACACGCAGTGGCCTCTTTATTAGATATACATGAACAGTCTAATGCAGTTCAATACAACAGCTCTGCTATAAATGCTTGAACTAAACATAAGAAACACCTCTTGAATAAATGTGATAAAATATTGTAAAGTCAAAGTTCACTTCCTAGAGTTTTTCAGGCTTTTGAGCATATCTCATGGCCTTCAGTGCTCAGACTTGGTTGCCAGATATTGTAGAAAGTGAGAAAAAACGAGAAAAAAAAACGCCATTGAATTTTATTATGTGCACCTAATAAAGTGGCAACTGCCTGTCTATGTATGGAAGGAGAGAGAGAGATAAGAATATAAATACGACAGGAACACATGGACCATATGGATGGACGGTGTAGATTACAGTTTTTATGGGTTTTTCTGAGAAATAATTGTAAGTGACAGGAATTTAATCGACCACCTTCTTACAGCTGCTTTTAAAGCCTGAAGGTTTTGAGTGTTCGGCAGTCACTTTATATAGGCCTGTGTGCCTACTCCAGGAACTGTCGGCGGCTGATTTATTTACTTTCATGACTTCAGTTAAGTCTGGTCTGCACTGCAGTCGGCATATTGGTGTCTGGTCTGCCAATCTGCCCTGCTCAGCATCACCCGCACGACTTTATACACTGATCTTGATTTATGTTTGTGTTTTTTCAGTGGACCAAAAAGTCAGAAAATTACCCTAAAGAGTCACCCTTCTCTGGTCTGGCTGGTAAACCTCATTAAAAAGTTATTTGGTAGGTGGGGGGAGGCTGGCGGGGGGAAACATTAGTGGTTCCACTTCAGCACAACCATAAAGTCAAGTCAATCAGCGATTTGACATGGCAGACCACCAAATGTATATTATTTCCTCCAGCCGCAATATGCGTAAATATGCTGCTTTAGTAATGCAATAAGCACATGGAGGGTCTGGCAATATACCTGACTGTAAATGAGGTAGTGTGTGAAGGAGTTGTGAGTGGAAGCAGCTGTCGGGGGTTATTTATGGTTGACAGGCTAAGATCACACTGGTTTCCAGAGTTCCCAAATTTGCTTCTTTTATTCCCGCTTTTCTATCATTGACATGGACTAAGAGGCTTGCATCTGATAACAATTGTATCTGTTAAAATGTGTCAGTCCTGATTCAGGTGTGTCCCTTTGTTTCTAAATTTCTTTGTTTTCCTACTTTTTACAATCTTTCCAGAATGCCCATAGTCGATGTTTGTATTTGGTAGTAAATGGTTGCATTCAAAGCCCTTTTTTTATCATTACAAATTTTTATTGTCTTTAGGAAATTGCATGTTGTTCATGAAAAGACTTGAGATAACAAATGTAACAATAATCCCAGATTTGCATTTAATGTAACTATTTTTGCTCGCCAGATGACCAAACTATTCCTACTTTATGATAAATGTACCCTCAAATATTTATAGTTACTTAAAATAATTGTTAAAATCAATTTGGGAAATGCACATATTCACTTCCTTTCTGAGAGTTAGATTAGAAGATCGATACTGCTCATGTCTGTGTCTGTACCCGATTGTTTAGTTTAGCATAAAGAGTAAAGCAGGGGGAAACTGTTAATCTGTTTTATGCCAAGGTAAGATTCATGTTAATCATGCCCTGTCTCCAGTTTTGTACTTAATGCACAAACATGACAGTAGTATCAATCTTCTCTAAAACTCAGCAAGAAAGTTGTTGACACTATATCATGGTATTGGTTCTCTCCAGAATCACTTACCCTACCTTTAAACATTTGCTGATTCAGGTAGAGCAGTGAATTAACTAGGAGGTACAACATTAATCACTCCTACAGCATAATTTACTTCTTTACTGTCCATCAATATGTCGCAGTAGTAATAAACACTTTTTAACCATTTTCGGCAAAGGATTTCCTCCAAATTAATTTAAAGTTGGTGCAAAATGGCAGCTCTCAAAAAGCAGCTGTTCCTTGTTTTTCATGGCTGACTGTATTTTAAAATAACTGGTGTAGAAGCAAGATGCACTGCAACAGTGTGTCAGTGGATATTTAGTTGCAACTGCACTGCACTGCACTTGCACTGAACTGCAACTATGGCTGTAAAAGCAATGTTATTATTAAGAGTGCAAACACAGTTCATCCAGACAGCCACACGTTCTGATCTAAACAAGTTATAGAAAATACACCTGACTGAGGTCTGGACGGTACTTGTACTGTTTGATGTGTTTGCAGGTGACTGACAGGGTAGTTGTTGTGTGGAGGGTGAAGGTGTTACTGACTGGCAGAGGTTTAATTAGGCTCATGGTTGGCACTCCTTGCCCTGAAGTGGCTCTCTACAGCTTCATCCTCATTTAAAGTCAAGCCAAGCTCTTAAGAGACAAAAACAGACCCTGAAGACATATGCACCTCTACTCAATGTGTGTGTGTTATCAGACTACAAGGCTCTTGGCTTGGGGTGGATTATCTGTGGGCAATCATAAATGTTTGAAACATGATGAGAGAAAGACCTCAATGCTGCCCTGATGCCCCACAGCAGCATCACAGGCTTTTCCACTGCCAGGCAGACCTTTTGTGAACCTGACTTAAGATCCTCAGCCAGCACATACAAACCTGATCATTTAGCTAAGGCCTTGGGAATTCTTGGCACAAATACATAAACCAGCACATAGTGAAAGCCTGATGACAGGGTGTTGTGCAGAAGTGACAGCTGCTACTCTAGTGGCTAATGTCTTGTTGGTGGAGAAAAGGTGGGTGCAGCACAATTGCTGTCGCAACCAAATTTCTCCTGGTTGAGAAAACTATTTGGTGTTGGCGCATGTTGTATAATTACTGATCATCTAAAATATGATAAAGAAATCGAGTATCTAGAAAATGTAGTTCACAGTTCATCAGTTAACAGTAAATAAAAAAAACTCATAAGTCTAAGCAAATAGTGCTATAAAATATGAAGAAAAATAAGTTTTCTTTTAAAGAGAGGAGTGGTTTGGCTTCCTAACTTGCAGTAGCAAGCCAGTGGGAGAGATAAAAGTGCATTTGAGGGTGAGAACGAATGCCTGAATGACGTTAAGGTATACTAATCTTGTCCTACAGTCTTTTTCCAATGAAATCATCTCTCATTTGATGAACCGTGTAGTTAATATGTCACATTTAATGATCTATAATTAACTGTTGGGAGTTTTGAATGAGCTAGAAAATGCTGTGATTAGCGATTTTCCATTTGGTTTCTAAGCCATTAACAAACAGTCAGTGTGTGCTGTAATGGCTGGCAAACAACAAGCTGGGATGGAACAATGTATAATATTTACTATATTGTTTATCAGTGTCATTCACCTCTGACATGATGTGTATGGCTCATTACATTTATGTGGATATTTAATTCTGTACTGGTTGTTGTATATCTTTAAAACATTCCTTTTTTGAAGACTTCTTGCACTTACCTATTAAGACTTAATTGTGAAGTTGAATTGATTTGAATTACCCTGTCATTAAGAGTCTACACTGTATGTGTTTTAATTTATTGGCATAATTAAAACATTTTTTGTCATGCTAGCATTGTGGCTCCAAGGATGGTAATGTGTCTGTCTGCTGGTAGGTTGACCACTTTGGTCCCAACAATAAGATGGATATGGATATGTTTATTGAGATTGGGATTTCTACATGACAATGTAGTCATGGCAATGTGTTTGTATTGTAATACCTTTTCTGGACTAATTAAATCGTGCCCCTGACAAATACCCCCAATCTTATAATAAAAAAAAAGGCTAAACTAAAACGTAACATTTTTAAACAATAAAAACTAAACTGAAACGAGAAACCCCACTCTGAAAATGACCTACAACATAAAAATACAAAACTATAATAACTCTGATTGCCATGAAATGTTTTAAAGACAGTCATGATCCCCAGAGGATGAATCCTACTGATTTCAGTGATTCTCTGACTTTTACTCTTTGAGTGAAGGGAATCTGCAATTATTGGCAGAGAGCCATGAAGTGTTGCATTCATGTTGCCCTCGGGATAAATTGTAAACACTTTAGTGATGCCAAATCTAGCGCCACCAACAGTTAAAAACTTGAATTTGCCTAACTTTAAATACCTGGAAACGAATGGGTTCCCTTCATCCCCAAGCTGTTCTTTGTGTTTTGTCTTAATTAGCTAATGTCAGCATGTTAACAGGCTAAACTGAGATTATTATTAGACATTATCTGTGCCAAACATCAGCGTGTTAGCATTTAGCTCAAAGTGCCACTGTGCCTAAGTTCAGCCGCACAGAGCAGCATGTCTGTAGATTCTTATGTCTTGTTAACTTATATTGCGCAATATATACGAACTAACTGCATCATCAGCAAGCCTATAAAGGTGTATGTACAATATAAGTAATGTGAAAGGTTACATTAACACATTTCAAGTCCCAGGCAGTTTGCTCCATACTTTGTGGGTCCAGAGGGTCCAATCCAGAGTCACTTATCTCAAACTAAATTCCTTTTATCAGCCAAGATAAATTATAATAATAAAGATTTTATACTTTATCAGTCAGTTATCACATTTTAAAATTCAAATACCAAGCCATTTTCGCCATACATCTTTATTAATGTATACATTATGTACAATAATAAGTTATATATACAGTTATACTTTGGTTTGGTGATGAGTCTGTGTGTGTTTCTACATGTTCTACTATACTGTGTGTGCTACTGAGGTAAGTAATTCATGTTTGGCTTCTGTGTATCATCCTTTCAGCATAATATATATCAGACAAGATTCGGCCTGTCTGAAGAGAGGCCTTGGGTCCATTTCATTTCAATTCAATCCACCAATTAGATTATTTACAAAAGTTCAACAGCGTAAAACATCATAAAAATAACTAGTTCAACCTGTTTTGAATTGAATTGGATTTGATGAAGACAACCCTGCTCTAAGAAGGCAGTATATTTAAATGTGAGCTTTTTTTATTTGCCTTGACTGGAGAGATTTAAGAAAAAGAAAATATGAACACATGCTTGATAAACATGCACATTCATTAAGTTAAAGTACTGGAGTCCAGCCCCAGAGTTTGCAATGTAAAATAGGAACAAAAAAAGCATCAAGAAAAGGGACTTTGCAGTGGGAGATGATGTGTTTGATTTTGTGCAGAGTTGTCATGGGATATTATGCTGACAACAACAGGCATCAGATAAAGATCAGTCCTATTACCAAGAAATGAGATCAAAGTAAGCTTTGGCATTGTTTGTAACAGTTGGCCTTCGGAGCTCACTGCTGAGTTTGGAAGCTTCACTGCTACAAAAAGCAGACCTACAGCATCTTATCGGTTAACATTACCTATATTAATGGAGCTAAGATGGGCATTAATGTGACGCTCTTCACAAAGTTTAACTTCACGCTTATCAGAGCCACCCGTGGTCTCTGTACGTACAGCACTTAACCGGCTTCAGCTGCTTTTCAGAAGAACTGCATATTGTTCTCATTTGCTATATTGGTCCCATAGGGAAGAGGGGAGTTTAAATGCTGTCTGAGCATGACTGAGCCAACCACAAAAGCTGAGTAAGGTCAGACGTTATAGGATGACCGTAGCGCTGCTTCCACCACGACCGGCTGCATTCTTGCACCGTTCACAGTGCAGCAACCCGGGGGCAGTTAGTCATGCCTCTGCCGTGGCATCTCTCTTTTTAATGTAGGGTTTTACAGCTTTTCCACTGGGCTTTCAGTGGTTAAGTGGCCCTAAATGCTTAATTGGGTGCTGGAAATCACAGGCACTTTGCACCCGCTCTGTAAACCACAACACTTCAGCCTATTAGGGGCCCGGGGAGCCACACGCCAAATAATTAGGGCTGGCGGCAGCACTAGACCGCAGCATTGAGGTAAAAGGGGAATAAGCGGGGAGAGGAAGAATTATGAGGGGAGGGGGTCACAGACTGGGTCACTGCTGAGGAAGTAGTTGCAGTAAGTCTGTGTGTGTTAACCTTGGGAAAGTGGATTTACATGTGTCTGTTAAGGCAGAACGCAAGAAGCAGCAGAGTAGAGTAATGCTGCATTAATTTCTGTAAACCTTATCTGTTCGTGATCAGCGTTTCCACACATGCTAATCAGTTAATAGAGCTGAGTCTGTGTTTTAAAGTAAACAACTTTGCAGGATCAACTCAGAATTAACGTAAAAAGCAGTGTGCATAATGTCTTTAGGTAATTCTTAAAAAATGTAAATACTGTTCTGTAGTGTAGACTGCAGATGTAAGCTGATCTGAATGATGCTTTAGCATTTCCAGCTGAGCATAACGATTGTATTTTAAGTAGGGAGCTCGTATCTGCTGTCTTTCCTGTATGATGACAGCACAGCCCAAAGTTATGAATGTTAACTGATGCTGCGGTCAAATCAGTACGCTCTCTGTATATTGTGTCAGCTGCGGGATTAAAAAGAAGGTTTTGGTCCTGATCAGAAGGTTCAGTGAGAGGACGTAGTCATCCTCAGTCCTTCCACTTGTTTTACCGGTGTGTCTACAAGAAAAGCACTTAACTGGCACTGCTGCATCTCCATCAGCACACCATTGCATCTGTATGGGCTTTTTCAAACTGTGTACCAAATGTTGTATAAAAAACTTTGATGACAGACTGTAAAAGCTGTTCCTGTGTTGCGTCCAGCGCACAGTTAATCTAGCTATTTTTTTAAAACTAAAATTCCATTGGAGGAAGACAAAAATTCTGATTATTTTATTCCTGCAGAGAATAATCTTCGGTATTTGATTTTTGTCTTTCTCAAAGTCTGTAGCACTTTAGAAAAACAGAAAATGAAGGCCATACAATGTATTGCAGATTATTAGCTTCTTGACAGAGAAAACCCATAATAGGAAAAAAGGGATTGTGCACAGGGAAGTCCACTGACATTCTTCATGTGATGGCGATAAGGTGTATACTGTATTTGTGCTGTCCTCCGTGCCAGAGCAGTATCTGTCCCTACATACATGTATACTGTAAGGCATCATAGTCTCTGAAGTCTCTGCTCCACCACGTATTTAGACACTGGCGCAGCGCTGGGATGGAGATGAGCACGGGGACTGACAGACCAACTGGCTGTGAAAACTGCTGACCCGTCCGGCAGCTGCCGCCATCTCACTGGTGCCGAGCACGTCCGAGCAGAGCGACTCCACGGCGTCCAGCCTCTCGATTTGTACCAAGCGGGTCAGGAGGTCAGGGATGCTGTAGCCCGCTGTGCTTACTCTCTCGAAGAGCTGCAGGCCATCACTCATGCCACCGATCTCGTCACGCTTCAGCCCGAAGCTCTCGGCCAGATGCCTCCACGTCTTCACCACGGCCGCCTCGCTGCTATAGGAGGAGCTCAGCATGCGGCTGGCCTTCTCTAGACAATCGAAGGGAAGCTCTGTGGGGCTCAGGCCTGGAGAGGGACAGGAGTGTTAGAAGTGATATAGTCAATTACATCAAGATTTTGATTTTGCTGTTGAACTGGTGGACAAGTATTGGATGGTTTGCAGTGACATTTGGCACAGATATTCAGGGTCCCCTGAGGTCCCCTGAGGATTTTGACTAAATATCCTACTTGTAAAACTCACCTGCACTTTAGTTTAGTGATAATTATATAAAGGTTAGCATGCTAACACACTAAACTAAGATGGTGAATGTGGTTAACATTGTAGCACCAACATTTTAGCATTGTCACTGTGAGCATGTGAGCAAGCTGGCGTTAGCATTTAGATGAAAGCACCATAGTTCTTATATGATGAAGCTGTTCCTATTCATACTTTCATTCACATATTTTAACTAACATATAAATGAAGTACTCACCTTTTTAAAATTGCTTTTAATGTTTAGCTTAGTCTGATGTGTTTTTAGTGTTTTACTATTTGATGTTGTTCTGCTGCTTTTATGTTTTAATGTAAAGTGTCTTTGAGTATTTAGAAAAGCACTTATAAATAAAATTTATTATCATTAATATTATTAAGTAGTTGCATTATTTTTATACCCATCCAGTTGCTGTATTATTGCTTATATATATATTATATGCTTTTGTTCTATCTTAATTTTCTTTGCTGCTGCAATGATACAATTTCCCTGCACTACTGTTTGATTTTCTCTGAAAATTAGTCTCTTTAGACATTAAACAAACATATAAACATGCTAACACCTTTACTTCAAAACTAACTTAGTCATTGAATAAGTCGGATTTTTGTGTTGTGGATCTTGTGGAAAAAATTGCCTTTCCGATGCAGTTTCACTTCCTAAAGCAGTTTTCTTAAAACAGTCGATATCATTTCTCACTTCAGCACAGATCATAAAAAGAGATCTTCACCAGAGAAAAGTCAAATGCCCCACAGTATTGGCAGAAATCGATTCTTGATTACAAGGCTTAGTGAGATGGATGTTTTCGTCTGTGTACGAGAGACTCACCCTCTGTCACATTGCAGGCTCTGGCATACAGATCCAGGATCTTTTTCCTTCGACTCTGTAGCATCTGTGTGGTAAAAAATAAAGAACACAAAATATGTGATTTCCAGATGAAACTGAACTAAGGATCTGTTCACAATCATATTTTTTTTACTTTAAAAGTTCCATCTTCCTACCCCTGGGGTTTTATTGTTGTTATTGATTGCGTTCACACTGCTGATGTGGTTGGTGTTGGCGATGTGGTTTGGACTCTGGATGTTATTGGCCTGCCCGGCTGCAATGGTGGGGGTCCCGTTGCAGGCTCGGTCGCGGTCCAAGAGGCCCAGAGAGAGCAGGCAGAGGTCAGGCTTGTTTCCCAAATTGACAAGGCACAAGTTAGGGTTGTTGTTCTCGGCTGATCCTTGCTTCTCGGATGCCGCCTCCTCATCACTGTCAATGCTACGGCTCAGCAGCTGCTCGTTCTCTGATGACGCGTCATTTTCACTGCACACACAAGCACGGACATATTTCAAACATATGTAAATGTGCACATACTCATTGATATCCCATGAAACACTTATAACAGGAATGGCATCCAGCAGGTAATTTGGTCGAGCTCATAGACAGTAGTTGGACTCTGCAACTAGCAACTTTTATCAATTAATCTGCTTATTAAATAACTTGATTAATTGATTAATTGTTTTGGTCCATAAAATGGTGAAAAATGTTGATCACTGTTTCCAAAAGCCCAAGTTGACATTCTTCAATGTGTAGTTTTTGCTACAACCCAATGATATTCAGTTCACTGTCATAGAGGACTAAAGAAACCAGAAAATTTGAGAATCCAAATTTTTATAGGCTAGTTACAATATCGTTGCAGCACTAAAGTGAACCGTGATTCCCAACATATCAAGTCGATTCCTCTTACAAATCACAGTAAAACTTTATACAATCACAAAGAACCCATTAAGAAGCACATCCTCAGTTTACAACTAAAACAATGATTTAGTACAATTTCACTACTAAAGTGGTTTCTCACTTCCCTGTTGTACATAGATGACGGTTTTCAAAGCACGGATGTCAATATGAACACAAATAAAAAGCAACATTAACTAAATCTAATAAAAAAAACATTTTGACCATCATGAAGGAAGGATTTAGTTTAGATGTACTGTATTAGACCACTTTACTTTTAGCTAGGCGAGTGTTATAAACTAGAGTGTATACCCCAGACATAGCCTCTTAAATATTCCTTTGAATGTCACTTTGCACTCAGCTATATCCAAACATACGCAGTAGTTCCGGTTTTTGTACGCAGTTTTGTTCTTTTACCATATAATTGAGTGACCGCTAAGGTGCACAGAATGACTCATGTCTCTGCAAACCTAACAGGAACTTTGACGAATGAAAATGAGCAGGAGAAGAATGTTGTTGTTGTTGCCATAGCTGCTGATGTTTCTAAGCTGTTCCTGTGATTGACTGAAATAGCTCTGCGTTTTACAACATGATACCATGTAATATCATTTTATTACCCATGCTCTTCCTCACTATGCCTGATCTGGATTTTCTCCCAAAAGCACCTTGTTGACAGAGATGCTCACAGAATGCCATTGTTTCGCAGTCCCACGCTTTTTTCCCAAACACTCACACAAAATGGCATTGTTTCCCGGACATCTAACACCAACTCTGGCAGCTAAAGCAGTGAGTTAGCACATCCTCTGGCATGCTGCTATACCACACTGTTTACTGCTATTGATGCTGAGGAGTGTGCGTATGTGCATGTGTATCTCATTTATTCTCTAATTTACACCCCCTCCCATATATTGGAACAGCGTATCAATCTAAGCATGTTCACTATGAGCGCTGTAACATTTGAGCACAATGGCTCACTCACACGGTTTGTGTGCAATACTGCACTATGCTATCATTTATTCCCACACTTCTCTCTGCACATTTGCCACTAGTGCCAATAAAGCAGCATTGTCTGCACATTGGGGGGGGG